AGCCCTGGCGTCGCATCGCTCTCCTCCTTCCTTGTCTTCCTCGCCCTCTCGTTCCCGTTAAGTTACAAACAAGACCAGTTTGGGAAACAAAAAAAACCAAAACCAAACAAAGAAAAGCTACGACCAGAATGCCTCTCTTCTTCGCTGTTTTCTCCATCGTCTCCTCCTCTTCCTCCTCCGGGATGTGGTGCAAAGAAAGAGTTGCGGGTTTGGATACTGCACTTGGGGAAGGGGAAAGTCGTCAGACACCGCGGGACGCCCCACCTGCGGAAGAGCAAAGGGGACCTCAGCCTCTGTTCGAGGGGATGGGAGGACAGACAGAGGGACGGATTGAGGGAGGAACGGCAGGAGGGACTCAGGTGCAGAGACCCCCACGCACACTCGAGGCCATTTTTGGAGGAAACACTGCACCTGCAGTGCTTTAGGTGAGCCGAGCCCCAGCGCCACGTCCCCAGGGCCATCGCAGGGGATGCAGCAGGGCCCGTTTCCCCCTGTCCCCACCATGTTTCCCCATGTGCCCCCCTGTACCTCTCCATAGGGCCAGGGTGAGCAGAGGTCAGTAGGGTCTGTTGGCATCTTTTGGCCGCTTGAGCTGGACTTTTAGCCTCTTCATGCCAATCTGGAAGCCGTTCATGGCCTGAATGGCTGCCTGAGCGCTCGTCGGATTGTCAAAACTGACGAAACCTGGGCGTGAGGGACAAGGAGACAGAGGAATTTGTCACCAAAAGTGTCACAGGTTGGTGGTCTCTGTCAGCCGAGGCGTGGCAGTCCCTGCCGGGCCGAGAGGGGGACTGTGGGGTACCCCCTCTGATGGGGGCTGATGGCATCTTTGGGGACACCAAGGTTTGCTGGGACATCGAGGTGACAGGGTCTGTGGGGACACCGGCCTAAGAGGGTCCACAGGGACACTGGAGTGGTCTGCAGGGACACTAAGGTGGGGTGGCTGGGGTGACAGGGTCTATCAAAGTGATGGGGACTGCAGGGACATCACGGCAACAGGGTCTGTGGGGACACAAAGTGATGAAGGCTGGGGATACCAGGGTGACGGGACTGGTGGGGCCACCAAGGTGACACAGGCCACAGGTGGTGACAGGTCTGCAGGCCAAAGCACGCTGGTGACCACAGTGGCACTCAGCTGTGTGAGCAGATGTGGCAGTGGTAAGCGGTGACCGGCCTTCCCCAGCAGGCACCCTGGGCTGAGGACATGGGAACAGCACAAGAGGGGACAGCAGGAGGGTAACTCCTTCTGTCCTGGCACAGTGCAGGACAAAAAACTGTCCCCAGGACAGCCAGCCACATTGCTCCAGGCTTTGGTCACCCTGGGATGTTGGGGACAGCTGGACCCCTGAGCTGGGGATGTTGGGGAGAGCTGGAACCCCAAGCAAGAGCTGGACCTCCAAACTGGGGATACTGGGGAGAGCCAGACCCCTGAGCTGGGACATCAGGGAGAGCTGCACTTCCAAGATGAGGACATTGGGAAGAGCCAGACTGCTGAGCTGGGGAACGGGGAGAGCCAGGCCCTCCAGCTGTAACATTAGGGAGAGCCAGACCTCTGAGCTGGGGAAACTGGGGAGAGATGGACCCCCAAGCTGGGATGTCAAGGAGAGCAAGACCCCCAAGTGGAGATGCTGGGGAGAGTCAAACCCCTGAATTTGGCATCAGCAAGAGCTGGACCCCTGAGCTGGGGACATCGGGAAGAGTCAAATCCCTGAATTTGGCATCAGCAAGAGCTGGACCCCTGAGCTGGAGACCAGGGAGAGCCAGATCCCAAGCTGGGACATCAGGGAGCTGGACCTCCAAGGTGGGGACACTGGGAAGAGCCAGACCTCCAAGCTGGGGATGCTGGAGAGAGCTGGACCGCTAGGATGGGACATCGGGGAGAGCCACACACTGGCACTTACCAAAGCATTTACTCTGGTTGGTGGCACGGTCCACAAAGACTTTGGCAGAGATGACATTGCCGAAAGGCAAGAACATCTGCGTGAGCTCTGCGTCCCCGAACTCCTGGGGCAGGTGATAAATAAACAGGTTACAGCCTTCGGGACCTGGGTGACACACAAAGGACAGCCGCACATCAGCCGCGAGGCAGGGGTCACCCCGGGGGATAGCAAGGAGCCGCCGGCCCCGTGGCAGGGCGCCCCCCGAAACCCCTCACCTTCTCGCTGCTGCTGTGGGATGATGGGTGCTTGCTGGGGGAAGGCTTGGCTGATGGGTGCGTAGGCGGTGGGATATGCTGCTGGAAGAGAGGAACATAGAGCTGAGACCCCAGCCCCCACCCGGCTCCCACCACAGCCCTGGGAAGGGCTGGGGACAAAGATGTCCCCTGCTGCCACCCTCCATGGAGTCCCTCCTGTCCTGGGGCTGCTGGTTCTGCCCTTCCCTGCCCTGCTGGCATGGCCCTGGACTCCTGGCACACTCAGGATGTGGGAATGGCTCTCCCAGGAGGGACACTGGTGGCACAAATAATACAGCCTCAGGGTTGAGGAAAGACAGCACTTTTGGTTCAAACACCCAGCAATTGGTCCAAAACTTGATTTTCTGTTGAAAATCGCTGTTAGTCCTCCTAATGAAATGACTGACAGGCTCGATGTACACCCATGGGATGCTTGGAATCCCTTCTCTCTGGGTCCCATCTCCATGGCCATCCAATTCGGCCACATGACGAACATCTGAGGATTTGGGATGCGCTGGTGCCTCCACAGCCAACATGTGGGCAGGATCCAGCATCATCGGCCCCTCCCGGGTACTGCTGCCAGCTCTCCCTCCACAGAGTTATCTCAAGCATTAAAACCCAGTTTCCTCCATCTGAAATTTGCACAGAGGGCTGTGCCAGGAGCATATCCATGTTGTCGGGGATGAGGAGAGAGTGCTCTGCATCAGCACCACCTCCATTGCTGCACAGGAGCACCCCAAACGCGTCGCCCAAGCCTGTGGTTCAACCCCAAAGTGACACTCAGCCCCCCCAAAAATAAAGGTGAGGAACAAAGAGAGGGGAGAAGTGCAAAGCAAAGTTTGAGACCTGCATAGTGCTGCATGCCTGCGTAGGCTTGCTGGAGGGGATCTGCCACCGTGGGGCTTTGAGCTGGGAAGAGAAAAGAAGGGAGAAGGAAAAGAGAATCAGCGGGAGAAACCCGGGAATGAGCAGCTCCCGTGGGAAGAGGGCTCCTGGCCGAGCACCGCCATGGAGGGGCAGAGCAGTTTTGTGGGAGGCGAAAGCATCGCCTCGCTCACAAAGGCAGCGATGCTGCAGGAGGGATTTCGGTGGGGAGCGGCGCACGGCTGCTTCATCCAGCACATTCACAGGGTGGGGAGCACCCCCAGAGCCTGGTGCGTGAGCTGAGTGTGCACCCCCAGCCCCAGGGGATGGTGGCAGAGCCCCCCCAGGTTGGCTGCAGGGGGGGTTACCTGGGTAGGGGTGGATGCCGTTGGTGTAGATGGTCTCGGAGGTGGGCTGCCCGTTGGTCTGGGGCGGCAGCGGGCTGAAGCCATTGACCCCAATCGGGGTGGCGATGCTGGGCACTGGTGCCGTGCTGATGCCAGGAGGGGTGCTTGTACCTGAAGAGGGGGTGAGGGGGGCAGCCACCAGCCCACTGACGTTAAAGGCGGCCATCTGCTGCATCTGGGCGGCGGCGATGGCGGCCATGGGGTTGAGGCAGGTCCCCTGCGCAGCGGCCATCAGGGCTGCCTGCTGCTGCCTTAAGGAAATAAAGGGGGAAAAAGGGGAAAGCCAGCGGGGAACAGTGGAGAGGGCAGAGCAGAGGAGGTTAAATCAGCATTTCTCCCTTTGTACCCGCACACAGGCGCTCAGAGTGATTAACGCCACCGAGGATGGGATGGGGTCTAGGTGACCAAAAAAAGGTGATATATGGGACTGCTGTGCCCTCCAGCCATGCCACCCTGGCCTAGGGGGCTGAAGCCCTCTGTCATGCCCCTAAATGGGGATACACCAACCCTGACAGGCACCTGCACTCAGTGGCACTGGTAACCATGGGCAAAACCAGCCTCCCCAGCCCCCAAAACCCTCCAGGTCCCGGGCACTGCCAGCTCCTACCGCTT